CGACAATACCACTCCCACGTCTATTCAATGGGCTTTAAATCGGGTGGGGTTGATGCCTTCATAAATGTCACGCTTTTAATTTTCGCACGTCAGCTCATATTTTAACCAAATGAGGCCACAATACTGTTAATCTAACAAATTTTTATTTTAAAACCGAACGAGTCTCGATTGAAAAATTAATTGAATAGACCTGACAGTATCATAAATTCTCGATGATTTACATTATTTTATGCAAAAAACAAGCTACATTACGAAGATTTGAACAAATTAAAAGATAAGTATCTTCTTAATTTTTTTAATATTCATAACTACAAAAAACCAATTTGTAAAATTATATCTTTCAGACATCATTTGAACAGTAATAAATCTGAATATTGATAGTTTTATAATGAGAAAGTCGTTTTTGAATTTTTTATGCTGAGGAAATTCGGCTACAAATTAGGGTTATTGGATATTTATGGATTACTGAGAGAAAATGGGAAGCAATCAATCACCACAGTAGCCACAAAATAAAACTTGAATTAACTCTAATCTTATCTCTTGTTATCGGTTTGTGTCACGTAGGCAACCAACATTGCAGAAAAATTTAACATTTGTGTTTTTGTTGGTTTTTGTCAAGTTAACTTCTCATTCCTAATTAATTATTATTAAGTGGAAGATAATTAGAGACAGTTTGACAACATCCTCGAAACAACTTTGTGTCTTTTACTTGATTAATTATGTTTGGATTAGAAGTAATGGGAACAAGCCATTAAAGTTTAAAATTGCTGCTGTAAACTGATTTTATTTGATGAATTAGTTTGGGTTAAAGAAAGTCATTTCGTGTTTCAAAATTTTTGTATTTTATTTCATACACTGTACTTTTGTTTCAAATCCAGTTATTTTTCTTGTTAATGAAGACATAAATCTATAACAATCCGTGATGTAAAGCAGCATTATGAAAATAATCTCTTTGAGACGAGAAACGGCCTGTTAATGTGACAATAAGTCAAGTTTGACGAGCGTTTCTGCAAGCAGGATTAGAGTTGTAATTGCGTAACAAATACTTAATGTTAACTGTCAATTAATTTTAATCCTTATAGATGTGCCACTTAATTAAGCAAAACGTTGCAGTAATTTCATTGTTTTTGTTTCCTTATTAAGAGGCCTAATTTTCGAATGTCTGAGTCGAATGACGGCGACCAACATGGGTATAATCGCCGAATTATTGTAAATATTTGGGTAATAGTGGCCGGTGTTGTGTGTAAAAAGTCGCCGGCCCACCAATTTCACGATGACCTAGATGGAGACCGTCGAAGGCCGCTGGCCTTCTCTCACATCACACCGCAGAATTCGTACTAGTCGAGGTGTTCACGTAAATTAGAACAATGTCGCATTACAATGGACTTTTTTCGATAAGATCGTCCTTTTTGAAGTCCTGAATGGACTTATGCGACCCGAGTATTAAAACTGAAGCGTTGGAGGAATTTTAATTCGGGCTGATCTATTTATATAGACATAAATCATTTTTATCCTTTATTACAAACTTATACGTTGGTTCGATTGAGATTACTTAAAATAACCGTTGTAAATCATCGCCAACTAATCACAAATTTTTGGTTCACTTGTAACTGCATCCACGGATTTACATGTTAATTGTTTAATTAAGCACAAATTTTAATTAAATTAACCAAACTCATTTAAACTTTCTCATTTTTTGACTTGTTTTTGCCAAATTAGCCGAAGATTTGATACTAATTAGTAGTCGTTTCGTCTAAATTATGAAACTCGAATTTGTTATTATATCTAAAGATGTCAGTCTAAATACCGACTTTATTTTTATTTTGTTATTACTAGGACATAAATCCCCATTGCTGATACGTAGAAATACATTTATTCATTTTAAACTAGATGCAGTTTGTGCCAAATTTATATATTAAATGCCAGGGCAGAGTTGAAAAATGAGGTCGTTCTATTGTACTCTGGAAGAATAAGAAATATTTATGGGTCAGTAATTGCAGGTAACGACCCCAAAGCTCACTTTATGATTTTTTTCAAACATGCCTCAACGAGGGCGACATAAATTGCTGATTTTTTTTATTGTAATTACAAAAATGATGTTATTTTACCTATCTTTTGGCGGATTTTATGCCGTCTCATAATAATAAACACGAATTTTATTTTTTAAATCTGAGAATATCGCCGTCTTTCTTAACATTTACATCAAAAGTATTTTAAGGAAAATGACGAAGCTGATCCCGTCATAAATTTTATATTGGAAAGAAATATTTGACACTTATGGCGTGTAAATTAAGTATCAAACATACACAAAGTTGCCACATTTTTGTCTCAAATAATCCCGTCATAATTAATGTCTCCACAGACTTTTATAGATTTTTTTTCTCCCAAAAAATACTAAAAGAGTGTCAAGCGACACGATTGTGAAATTTGTTTTAATTTTTGAATATAAACTTGTTTCAAAAATGAACTATTATTATGCAGAAGTTCAAAATTTTTCTTTCACAAAAAAAAAACAAAATTGAAATGGTCGGTTTATAGATACAGGGTGTCAGTGAGTTGAAAAAGTCCATTAGTGACCTTTAAATGGTAAAATTAAAAAAATATATATAGGACATTGATAGATAATAATCTAGTCCATCGCCTAAAATTATTTTCAACTATACAGCGTGTCTCAAAAATAAGTTATAATACAAACTTGTGTTTTTTTTTAATTGAACGCCATATGTTTCTTAGTGTTTTTGGATGTAGATTTTTATGACAATATTTTTAAGCTAAACTTTTATTGGTCGATTTTGCTTTGTTTTAAAAATAAGACGGTTTTTTTTTGACGAAAACATCCACTTTGTTACACAAAAACTAAGACATCTAGAAATATATTTTTTTACTACCGCAAAGAAGAAGGTTGTAAATTTTTTTTAGTGTGTTGAATTTGCAAAGATAAAAAATTAAAAATATAAAAAATTTAAATGGAACACCCTATTTATTGTTTTTGCATTTAAAAAATTATTAAATTGTCTTTATAAAATTATTTACTTTTTAGGTGTTTATAATCAATAACTAAAAAGATAGTTAACGTTAAACATTAAAAAAAATAATTACTATCGTTCCAGTAGCCAAAAAGTGCACAGTTGCACAAGATATGGAAAAAATATCACTTAATAATCACATTTATGTTAAACTGAATCCATTATTTCTTATTTTTACAACGAAATAATTCGAATTTCAGTATTTATAGCGACGTTTACAATCTCTGGATCTCTTATCAACGGATAAGTGATCCGTGGTGGAATTACTATGGTTGTCATAGTATCCACAATGCTCAGATATTGATAGGCATTGTTGCTACAATTATTATTGAATGTTAAATATCTTTTCATTTATCAATTTTAGACACTAAAAGTTTATTTTTTAGGATAGACATTTTATCAATCTATTAGATGCAAAAATAAAATATTTAAATTTTTGAAGTTATTTAACTTTTAACAAACTTCTTCATTTTTTAATCTTTACAAATGCAAAACACTAAAAAATTGCTACAGCTTTAATTTCTGTACTTTCTTCTTTGCAGAAGTAAGAAAAAATTTGTTCTAGCTGTCTTAGTTTTTTTGTAATAAATTTTTAAAAAGTGCGTGTTTTCGTCAAATAAAAGCGTGTTATTTCTAAAACTAAGCAATCTACTAATAAAAGTTTTGTGTAAAAACATTGTTTTAAAAGGCTACATCCAAAAATGCCATGAAACTTACGGTGTTTGATTTAAAAAAAAAACACAAGTTTGTATCGTAACCTATTTTTGGGACATGCTGTATGGTTAAAAATAATTTATATGATGCACTGGATTAGTCTCTATCAATGTCCTATACATTTCTTTAAATTTTACCATTTAAAGGTCACTAATAGACTTTCAATTCGCTGGGACACCTTGTATATAAACTTTTATAGATTTTATATTTATTTTTCTCATTGTTCTCTTTACTACAATCTTGCAATAATTTCTATAAATCTAGGATATTTTCTATTATTTAATCTGAACACTGATATGAGTTGTTAATTTTTCTAATCCAAAATTTAGTACCACCAACAGAGAAAAACATAAGGAAAAGCGGAAAGTAATAAAACTTCTAAAAAATACCAAAAGAACCAAAAAGGAGTTTCAAATGTAAACTATTATTTAAAATGTTTTTTAAATGATAAAATAGCGATGCAATGGTAAACAATAATGTGGTTTAGCCTCTCATCGCCGGATTAAGCCTTTGTAAGTTTTTGTTTATGCACTCAACCTGTATCAACAAAAAGTTTCTCATCGTTTTTCTTTTAATAAATGATGTTAATCCCCCGGCACAAGTTTTCCTTTACTCTTTCTGGATCCTTTGTTCCTCCTTATCGTCGATGTTTTCATTCTGTTGGCGAACGTACACTCGAACGCCTCATCTGAATGGGGATCACAGTCGACCACTTCGTCATCCAGTACGCTGACACACTTTCAACACCCTTCGCCACCCCCAACATTGATTCCTATCAATCATTGTCTCTTTGTTCCACGGAAAATAAACAGTTCGGAGGCGGCGAAAACCTCAAGATGTCCACGAGACGTCGCTCTGATTTCAATGTTAATATTTCGCGTGGGTGCTTAACAATATACGGGAAACGAGTATTTTGGATCGAAGACGTGACGTTTGGTTACTTGCCGAGACGATGATGAACCTCCCACGTGGTCTTATCGTTTCCATTATAAATAGCTCGAGGGAAATAGGACAAAATGTCGTCTAGCGGCTGAATTAATTATCAACTGATATAGCAGTGCAGCCAGATAATCAACATATTTGCATATGCATATTTGACGGGTGTTTGCATATACATCCACCAAAAATTAACCCCACTATTAGCGACGTTCTGGAAGACGACGCGAATCATTAGCATCCCCGTAGCTGCATACATTACTTCTCCAAGCACATTTTATCTTTTACAATTATTACTATTACAATTAAAAAAAAATTACTTACGCGATTTTGAGTGCCGACCAGTGTAAAAAATATGACGTGAGCGCCATAAAAGGGCCGAACCACTGGCATAATCTGTCTTGTTTCGTTTGTCTTGCGGTCATAAAACTGTAATATTTTTTATGGCCACAACAAAGAAGTTTGTACACTCTAATGTTATTTACACTTTTGGGCAATGCCCTGCGATTTAATGTCAGTTGGGAAAGTTTTGGCGAGCAAAGTACTGTCTTCGCGAAAACATCGTTTTGTCACTTTTGGGAGTCGATAAAATCGAGGTCAATTTGTTATATGAAGACAACAAAACGCATTAATCAAACTCGCCACTTTGTGTCTAGTGCACGATAAGACCGTCGAGGAATTAATCTCAAGTTTGCAACAAGGAATAACTTGCCTTCCCTAATCAACTCGAACGTTCTTCAACGCTATTCATGCCCCACTTTCTGCGCGGAATTGGCACTGGAACCGGTTAATTTTTCGGAGCACTTACTCTAATTATAAGAAACTCCTAACTACACAAGTACAACGCCCGAGAGAAACGTGTACCACATCATTACGTCCAAATTTGAAATTACGACACTAAGGCACTCGGAAGGTTTAATCAAAGTGGCTGCAGTGGAAGGGCTGCTGCACCATCAATTACCGACTTATCCGTTATTATACAGATCGGAACGCGTAAAGATCTACGGGAAGTTCGAAGCACAATCGTATATAAACTCCAATTATTTTCCCGGAGTGCTGTGTACAGAGTTAATAAGATTAGTAATTTATAAGAGGAGGAAGAGTTATCGTTGGTTCGAGGTTCCGCGAGGATGAATCGCGACGGTCGCATTTCGATTTTTGTTTGATTACTGGTCTCTTTCGAACGTCTTTAAACATTCTGTTTGTTTGCAAACCGCAGGTGTTTTTATCATTAAAAAAATAAAATCGCTTGCTATTGCTCTCGAGGTTCTCCATGTTGAGAAAACAGGAAACGGTAACAACTTTGAATTACTAAAATAAGGATTCTATCAGTGTCATCTATAATGCATCACATTCTTAGGCCGTGTTCACATTTTTACAACGACTTCGAACAAGTGTTGGACATTGTCATGACCATGTCTGCTCTTTAAAGATTTTAGTCTTTTCTGTTGACATTCTCGAACCAAGAAAGGCGCGTTTATTTCTTAAATGGAGTGATATTAATATTTGCTTTAGTTTGACCATATTTAATTAACAGATGTAATTTTTGCAAAACAGTATATTTGACAGATAATGTTTCATAATTTCTTAAGTTACTTTTGTACTTAGTACTTAGTATATTTCTTTAAATTTCTTGGTCTTCTGTACAACAGAAGAATCTGTGTTATCACAGTAATAAGTCTAGAAACCGGATTTTAACTAAAATATCTTTTTCATTCTATTTTTAAAGCCTGTGGACGGGACCTAAAAAAAAACGTTTGAGATGGAATAAGAGTTAGTACTCAACATTTTTTACGTCCTAAAATTTTTACATCAGTATTCGTCCTAAAACGACAAATAAAACCTTTTTTGTCCTAAAACCATAGTTTTAACATTATTTATTTTTTTAACACATTTTTTTTTAACTTTATTTCGGAATTTGTTATCGTCTTTATGCCAGTTTATATTTTTTCTTCGCCGCTTTAAATAAGTCACGTTTACTACATATTTTGATTTTACAGCCAGAACCGGAAGAAAAATATACGAGTAGTTTCGCTTAATTTCAAATTGAGAAAATATGTGTTAACATTATATTTTTATCTTGAGGTAATTTTATTAATACTAATTGAATCTCCTACGTTGAATACATTTTAAATTTTATAAAAATTCCTTGGCAAATATCAGAAATATTAGACCCAAAAGTCTTACGTTGGATACCCTGAAGAAGTGAGAATGTAATATTTTGTTATTTGTTTTGTACAATGCAAATTCTTATTTCACCCATGTAATAAGAAAACATTATTTTGTTTGTTGTTTTTTAGTTATACAGTATATCTCGTGCTATATAGCCCATCATTTCTGTCACTTTTCACAATATTTTTTCTGTATGAAATAATGAAACCTGATTCAAAGTAGAATTCAGTGCTAACACAGATTTTTCTTTTACAGAAACTAAAAGTTTCTGGCTGACCTGGTTTCCTATTAAACGTCCTATTTTATGTTTTTACTATTCTTTTTTACGATCCCTTTTTTGCATTTTTTAACGTCCTAAAATCCGGTCTCTAGTAATAACTAGAGTATTCTCACAAATTTTGGGACAAGGGTCAGAAAAAATAAAAAGTTACAGACTATTTATAGAAAAATCACTGTGCAGTTTTAAGATGTTAAAGGTAGTTTCAGTTTTTTTATGTAGGTACCTTTTTTGCCTTATTTTTATGTTTCAACTAAGTTTTTTTATTAACAAAAATTTTTACCTTGAAGTCTAGAGAGCAAGAGCATTTTTTAATTAGAAAGAAATATTATTAGTAAAATTTAAGAAACTTAGTTTTAACTGTTGAAAGAAGTAATCGTACAAGAAGTAATTACAAAACACTTAAATTTTGAGAATTCTTAGCTTTCTTTAAGTTTCTCAATCATTATCGATGTGTATTAGAAAATTTTGTTTCTTTCATTTATTTGGAAAACGACCGAATTTCTAAAAATATGTAAATAATTAACCTCAAAACTAAAGTTTGTACATTTCATCTCCAAATTTGTGGTGCAACACACTGGGTATCCTTTGTGCTTTGCTTTTGTGCACAAATCAAATAAGACATTTCACAGTCATCAAACGTCTAGTTAGTGTTGCGGTACATTTGGATAAATTTATAAACTTCACTAACAAGTAACGATCTCTCGACACACCACCTACAGTAAACAGCGTCTTTGATGTGGCGGCATTTAGATCCATCATTCAGTTCCTGACATCTCTATTTCTCCTATTATTCCGTCAACTGGCGCCCAAAATGAGCAATACGATAATGAAATTTAAGACCTTGGCACAGATTACTTTCATGAAAAATCATCCGGCAATGACCCTTCTTCGTGAACTCATCTTATTTATTTATATTTTTTTCCTAGTGTACTGAGCAAAACTCTATCCATTTTTATTGGGTTATAAATTATTTATAAAGTGGATTTTTCGGACGAACTGCAGTGGATTTTTTATAAGTGAGGATTTAGATAATCTATCAGTGGTTAGCTATGTAAATCGATTGGCTTAATTTAACGAGAACATTGGATTATTTTATTAATCCCGCGATTTACAATTCAAATTTTTATTTTCGGTTATGTTAATTGTGTACGCTTGGTGACGTTTCCAGAAGCGGAGTAATTTTACACTTAATTGCCTAGATAATGATATGTACAGGATATCTATTAATCCAAGCACACCTGACTATTGTTATTAGTGTCGTACTTGCAACTTTGATTTACTACGCCACCAAGAGTTTATCGGTGCTACTCCGTAATTATTGTTATTTATTAACATAGATATTATTAATTTATCATTCACCTCCACTGCTATTAACGTAAACGCCCACTTTCTTATATTACAGCTGTTATCATATTTTATTTATTACACTTTACAATTAACTACAACTAAAATTCTCATGTTTCTATTATTGAAAAAGAAAAAAGAAAACATTTACAGCTGATACAATCTTGAAAATCGATATTTCAAGTGTCAGTTTTTTAATTTTTTTTAATTACGCGCAGGTCAAGTTTTTGACGTATGAATATTTGTTTAATGTTAGTCGTGACTAACAGTCGTGACAACAAAATGAAAATTTTAATTAGTCTAGTTTTAGTCCACGATGGCTAACAAATCTTGATTTGTAACATGACAGTTGGCTTTCTCTTGTTGTTATTTTTGTCACTTGACATTTTTGATTTTATGTGCTAAGGAAAAATATAACGAACGAAATTTAATTGTTTTAATTATTCTTGCTCAGGATGGTGCAACTCTAAGCAATTTCTTCGTTTATTTATTTTTCGTGGAATTGTATTTTTGCAAATAAACGAAAACTTCAAGCATTTCAGAATCTCCAAAATTCGATTTTCTATTTCCAAATCACTTTGGAATTCCAGCAATTCCCAAAACTTTATTATGCCGTAAAATCGGTGACAAGTTTGCCTATTTTTTCGCACTTGAAAAGCCTAATAAAATCTAAATTTATTCCCGTTGCAAATTTTTACTGATTAACCCGCCTAACCTGTTATCTTAATATGTATTCACCTCTAATTGATTTAAATGAGTGAACGGCTCGTTTGTCGGTAATAGTGATCTCACCCACACGCCGGCCCGATTTGAGTCCACTTGAGTTCTGGGGGCCGAAACCTGAGTACGGTCCTGGGGTCGACGTCCGCCCCTCCTGTGACTTATTTATTTGCTAATTTTTTTGTCGGTGACATTTTTGGTCTGAAATTGAGCTTTACCGCTTGATAAATCGAATTCATGACGTGAATCCTTGCCAACCGACAAATAAAAAAGTTTTTTTTATGTGTGTGAGGTTGGACTTGTTTAACAGGTAGGTTTTATGGTCTCAATAAAACACTCAAAACTCGACTTAATTTAAGTCTGGAATTTACAAATCGAACAAACCGCAAGGCGAATGAATTTTACACAGTTATCCCAGAGGATTCATAATTGTATATTATTTCAGCTCCCTCAAGTGTCATTATTTTATTAAATTTGCGCCAACACAATTTTATTAAGCATCCACTCGAACGAAAGCTCGTGGGCCGGTTATTTGGCTAATGGATTTGTGTTTTAAACCAGTTCGAAGAATTTCAGGAAGCTTAAATGATCGATTAAACTGCACATTTTAATATAAATATTTCGCAAGATTTTAATTGGAATTTAACGCAAACATCGTGAGAATGCTTCGATTTCTTGTCACCTTTACTTCTACAGATCACAACATTAATGAAAAGTAAATTTTACGACTGAAAAGCAAATAGACCAAGCTTGCATGCAAATGAGTTGCGACTATTTAACTCCACGTTTATTAACACCAACCATCAACAAGACTAGAGATAAAGTGGCATTAATTTTTAACTTCACACTTATTTCTGCAATCCATTTGAAAACCGGAAATTAACAACAGCAAGGTGCCATGACTTTTCTAGAACAAATTTAAAAAGAAGTGCCTTATCAAAGCATAAAGCGCAGGATTAATGCCCCTTTTTATTCAGGTCAACGAGGTCATAATTAACTGATCTCGAATCGGGAAAACAAATTTATTTTTATACGTCGTTTGCTATTTTTATTAAGAAAATCCGTTAAAAGTTTTTAAAAATGTACATTAAACAATTATGGGTTTTAATTAGTTTTTTGTATGTTTTCATTTTCATTCATAAAACTGAAAATAGCTATTGAGTCAA